CGAACGCTTTGCGAACGCTTCGCGAACGCTTTGCGAACGCTTTGCGAACGCTTTGCGAACGCTTTAACGACGATCCCTGGTCAACGATTGGGCCCCTGGACCCCAACCTTTGAAACGAGAACCCTTCTGCTACGCATTCCGGAAAAAATATTCTGAGCCCTCAAACCCAAACCCTTGAGGGGGACCCCATTTGAGAACCCTCGAGTCCCGTTTAAAGGGGGCCCGATTTTGAACTCGTAGAGCACCCTTTGAAGGAACCGAAGTCTTCGGCTCCCTGAACTCTCCAACTTTCTCGGGAGTTGGGGGGTTGAGACGGCAGGATCGGAAATTTTGCCGGAGCGGTCCTAGCTTCGTTGATGCGTTCAGAGCTTTGGGTTGTGGTGTTTGGCGCTGTAGGCCGTTCCAAAAATGTGTTTTCGATCTTAGTATGATCATGTGTGATCTGTTTTGAAGAAGCAGAGGAGCCCAATTCCCAACCCCAAACCCTACCTAGGTAAACCCTAAACCGTAAACCCCAAAACCGGAACGCAGATTGAACGAAGACCTCCGCGAGCAGCCCAGCAACGGAGGTGGTGCCCGATGCCGCAGAGCGACGACACAAAAGTTCACGCAACTCTCGAGGCGGTCCAGGGGCTTAGGGCTTGGAGCTTATAGGGTTTTATAGGGTTTAGGGTTTAGTTTAGGGTTTATAGGGTTTATAGGGTTTAGGGTTTTGAGTGTTGGGTTTATAGGGTTTAGAGTTTAGGGTTTAGAGTTTAGAGCTTAGGGCTTAAAGGGCTTGGGGTTTAGAGTTTAGGTTTTAGGGTTTAGGGTGTGGGGCTATGGTTTAGGGTTTAAGGTTTAGGGTTTAGGGCTTATGGGTGCTTTTGGAAAACCGGGGATTCAATCGAGGTTTCGAGGGTTTCTGCTGGGGATGTACGGCCCGAGCCCATGTCAATTTCAGAAGCTACATTCTCAAGCCATTAAGTATGTGAAGAGTCGTGGGACCTGCCGACAGGTTGATACGAACGCCGCATCCTAAGCTACAAGTATAACCTGCACCCAAGACCTCGAAATCTAACCCCCTAATACCTAAATCCCAAAACCTGGAGCCTGCGAAGAAGGTGCCATACCTCAGCTATTCTCGGCTTGTAGCATTGGAACCCTTTAGATCGAGCTAAGTCTGAGTGCACTCTACCCGCTACCCGGTCCCGTCATCGTTTGGCTGTCGGGGTTCCAGCACACCGAAACCCTTACTAAGAATTCAGAAAGGAACGCTGTGTCGCTTCTTTTTTATCCGGAACGTCCCTTAAACTAGGCTGTGGACTCTTACATTTAGGCCGTACAGCACGAACATTGTCACTGGTATCGCAGTTAAGGCAAGGTTAAGCTGATTTCGGGAGTGAATGCAATTTTGGCTTGTTTGGTCGTATGAGCGAAGACAAGTTGCATCCCGTTAGGTTTAAGAGTTTAGGGGTTTGGGTTCAGGGTTTTGGAAGAAGAGCGGTCTCCTGCTTCGGGTTAAGGTATGGAGGGTGCAGTCTTGCGGGTACGATGAATTCAAGCTGAGTGTGTATCTGTCCTTAGCTTGATCTTCTTCTGCATGGAATCTGCAAAGCAGGCTTAGCAACTGGGTGTTGCTTTTCCCTCCGTTGAGGGGGAGATGGAGGTCGTTACATCGATGTCGGGAGTTTGCGGTTTTAACTTAGACGTCTCAACAGCTACTTCAACTCGCCATTTGTTCCTGCATACTTGCAGCCCACTGTGAGCCCTACGGTTAGTTGTTTGTTAGGCTTCTGCTGTCCGCCGCTCTATCGCCCTTTGGATCTCATGCAGCAGGCTTTGCTGGTCCAGCCTAAGCAACAGGCGCCGTTACGATATCCCATATTCTGGACTATCTGCAACCTTGTGAACAACATCGTGGGTGCTGGCTTCCTAGCTCTTCCATGGTGCTTGAAAGAGCTGAAGGAAGGGACCGAAACTGACCACCCTGCAGTGGTTTTCCTCATTTTGCTTGTGCTCGTCGGCCTTCTGCATGGCGTCTCGTTTTGGCTGCATGGACGCGCATGTGAGCATGTTCGCAATGTCGGCCCGCAAAGAGGGGATGCCACGTACTTGGGGGTTATGACTCAAACAATTGGACAGCCATGGGATGTGATTGCTGGTGTGGTCTATCTGTTGTACCCTATGTTCACGTGCATGTCCTACGTCAAGTTAACCCATGACAGCTTGCTCGGGCAAGATGGGATAGCTTGCCGCTTCAAGACTCAGGCTCAATCATTGCTACCTCACTGGATGGTAGACTGGATGGAGGAATGCGGGATATATGTATCAATGGCAGCAGCACTCATCCTGCTTGTCATCTATCGTCATAACGACCCACTCTTCCGTGCCGAGCTTGGGCTACGTGGTGTATTCTTCTGGATTCTGGTGGCACTTGTCTTCGTGCTCTGGTTCGCACTGCCAGACCCACACAACCCCACCGAATCGGAAGAACATCCAGCAGATTGCCTGGCAATGGCAAAAAGCTGGCGCTCGAGCTGGCGCTGGGGAGTGCTTGCAGTTATCTTCTTGTACCTGCCCTTGTCCTGCCAACTGTGCCTTGGGAACCAAATCAGTTCTAGATTCTTATGGGAGTTTCCGAAAATTAGGGGTACCTAATTTTGGGGTCCTTATAATAAGGATCCTATTATTTGGGGTACTATATTAGGGTCCCCTATTTTCGGAAATCCCCTTATAGGTTTTTGGGTCTACACACGCCATGTTTGTAGAATGCGACTTTAAGCTTCGCTGTGGAGTATGACGTGGGCATGTAAGGCAGCTGATGCCTCTCGGCGTACTGTCCATGCTGGCAGTGCTCGTGGGCATTCTGTCCGTCCTCCTTGCCCTAGAACCGAACGACGACCCGAACAGGCAACTGCAGGAGAGCACCACCAATCTCGTAACAAGGCGTTCCGCACATCCTCCTGTCCCGGCTTCCACGGAACAAAGCACTTTCCAAGTTTATGTCAAGGTCTGGTCCATCCTGCTAGTATCCTTCACTGCGCACTATAATGCGCCGAAGTATTATGGCGAGCTAGGTTCCGGAAATCAGCTGCAGAACTTCCGCCGTGCCGTATGCGTGTCCTACATTGTCGTGTCGTTGGCGTATCTTGGGTGTGGCACCATGGGTTACCAGATGTACGGCTCAGACACTCAGCAGGACCTCCTCAACAATCTTTCCGGATCAAGGAAGGCACCACTTACTCACGGCTTCTACCTACTCATTCTCTGGGCCGACTTTCCAAAGGTGATTATTGGCATGCGCCAGCTTTGTGGAAGTCTTTGCCGCCGCTGTCTGGATCGGCAACTTACCGATCAATTCGAGCTTCTGCTGTTAATCCTTGCTTCATTGGGATGGTTCCTGCCCCTCGCAGACATTCTGGCAGTCAAGGGAGCCTTGTTCGGATCGCTCATGGTTTATGTCATCCCTGCATGTATCCTTTTGAGAGGCAAGATCAGTCCTCAGCCCAGCAGATGGGAGGTCGGTATATCCTGGATTATGATCTTTGCGGGGCTTCTCCTCTTTCTGACCCAGGTGAAGGAGATGACATTTGAGCTGGCTCAGTGGGTTACCAGCGGCAGCCACAACAACACGAAGGCTTTGTTCCAATAGACTATAGACGCAACCTCGCAACCAGGTAGAGCTCTCCTTTTGGAAAGCTGGCTGCAGCGCGAGTATCTGTTGTGTCTCACAAGTATCTCGAAAGGTCCAAGTAACAGTATATCGTACATACTTTTGGGCCCCCCATACCACATATCCACTAACAGCCTACTATATTGGTACATGGACCCTTTGGCAAACATGGGGCTGGCAAGCTTGACCATGCTCAAGGATAACGGATCCTGCTTTCCGGGTTCAGCTCGGGCTTGATGGGTTCATGCAGTTTAGGGTTTAGTTCGTGTTTTTTTTCAGGGCGTTCTTCATCATCTACAGTAATATACTTTTTCGAGCTTCTCACATAGTCAACCATGATGTGATAGAGTCTGTTAGAGAGCCATCTGCAGCCTTCGAAGACTGTAGAAGGAGCTTTTGTCGCTTTTGGCCTTCCTGGTGTGGTTTAGGTTTAGGTTGTACACTTGACTCACAATCACTGTGGATAGAACAACACGAAGTTCACCCGCCTTTTCTTCGTTCACTCATCCACTTAGGTCATAGGGTTTCGGCCTTACGTTCTTGGGTTCCTTGATTCCTTGGCAGTCCTTGACACCCTTTATCACCCAGCTCAGACCATCGACGGTTCGCCTGGACCCCTCCCTCCTGTTCAGGGACATGGCGGGAGTTGCTCGGGTGTATCGTTTGGCAACACCCTAAACACTGTGGCACTGCGACCGGACACCTAAATATCTATGTCCGGCTCATGCTCCGGGATTTGCACCAGTACACAGCAGCGAGTGGCTTGCTGCAGCTTTAACACTGTAAACTTGTTCTGGACGCAGGAAAGATCCAGTCAGGTCAAGCTCAAACCTTAATCTGCAGACTTGTAGACTCGCAAATAAGTATCAGACCGGCACTTTCTCCTGAAACCCTGAACCAGAACACCGCACCACCAAAGCCCGTAACAGCGGCCCTAAACTCTAAACCCCAAGGCTTAAACCCTAAATCACACCTGAGCAAGAGCTCCAAACCCGATCCCTCCACAGGGCTATACGGTAATGTAGGGGCCTCAAGAATTCCCTATATGATTTTGGCGGTTCCTGATTATCATTATAGTATAATATGCCCCCAAACCCTATTCTAATTTATTAAGGCCCCTACAGTAGATTTACCAAGTCAGGATCCTTGACAATTAGGGGTTTTGCGGTTTAGGTTCTTGGGAAACCCTAAAAAGTCAGCCGAACTCTTCAGAGGACTGCCCCAAATGCGGTCCAGGTTAAGGGTTTAGGGTTTAGGGGTAATTTGTGTGAAACCCCTATAAAGGCTGTTCCGCAGCATCATATGGACGGGTTCAATCAGTTCACGCTCCAGTCATCGGTGCCTTCTGTGTGGAAGGATGAACCCTGAACCCTAAAACCGAATCAGCCGGAAATCCCCGAATCTTCCTGCAAGGCGCTTGGCCTCACGTTGCAGAGCACCCTGGCAGCGCTGTGCTTTCGGGTGTAGGGTTTAGGGTTTAGGGGAGGATTTGTCGTCAAGGCTTCAGGTGCAGTACTTTAGTGTTTTCATTCTTACCTGGACCCCAAAAGCATGTTAAATAATAGCCTTGTATCGGTATTGAGCCATGATTTTACGTACATCGACAGGTTGGGGTACTATAATAAAGGGACTACTGAAACTCGTAGTGCTTGTATGGTTCTAGGAGCGCTTAAGATTAAGTCTTGGGTTTGCTGCTTTGATCTTCAGTTACGCGTTTGAGTCTATCCACAAGATCCAGGCCATGCACTAGCAAGATGTATTAATATCTTGATCATGGGGCAGGGCGAACGTAGGTAATCTCCTAATTCGGGTAGCTACACTTGAAGTTATATATACATACCCCCCAATCATCCTAATCTGGAAGGCAGTGAAACCACATTTACTAAGTCCCTGAATTCTAAGGCGGTGCTCATGAGGCATTTTGTTGATGATATAAACCCCGCATTACCTTACGGACCCTAAACGATGGGAATCTGGTATAATCCTTTTTATGGGTAATGCAGGATTTATATCATCAACCGTAGTGTAAGGTACTAGAGAGAATCGTGGATGTCACGTCTGGGCGAGTTAAGGCCCTGCCCTACACCACGAAGTACTTGATCCGCGATGTAAGCCCCAAACCTTACTTAGAGCCAAGGGAGATGCTCCAAACGTTTTGGGCCTCAAGAACTAGAACAGGGCTTTTTGGGTATGTTATACTATTAGACTATAAGAAGGAACCCCTCCAAAACATAGTATAGGTAATTATGAAGGCCCCCTATATTAAACGTTTTGGGCGTTATATTCTTGGTCCATGATAGAAAAGTTTGGAAGTTTATGGGCCCGGTTATTGGAGAAGAGAGAATCCGGCTATGGGAGGAGCGCCTGGGTGGCTGAGGTGAGAACAGTTTTAGGTGGGTAGTTACCCTTATAGGAGCCTTATAGAAGGTCTATGTACTATATACCTTATAGAAGCCTTATAGAAGCTCTCTATACCCTAAACTCCCCACCCGTGGTTTCCTTTACCTCAGGTGAGAATGACTCAACATCAGCTGCCTGGCTCTTGCTGCTCCTGCGCTGGCGTGCCTTAAAGGACTTCTGCTGTCTAAATTGAGAGGCCTTGGACCCTAGAGAGCGCAACCCAGCAATACTTCCAATATAGGGGCCTAAATAATTACCTATACTATTTTGGGGGTTCCTTAGTATAACATATAGTACAGAGGACCCCCCCCCCCAAACCCTATTCCACTCATTAAGGCCCCCGTATTAACTTATACTAGTAGGATTAGGATGCTTGGGTGTGGAAGGTTAATGCTCACGTCTTGCCTACACACTTCCCACGCACATGGGATGGGATGCTCACTAGGTGTCAGGCCTTCCAGCAAGTCCAGTAATGCCCTGATACACTTTCATTGTCGGGTCACCGTCTGCGGACTGAATACACGGTAGTACAAGCAGTATAGGGGGTTGGGGTTTTAAGGGATGGAGGGTGTAGGCTCTGCACGGTAACGCTGGCAGTGGGAGGCTTTGAGGGAGGGGAGGGGTGAAGCTGGCACATGATGCCAAGGCTTCGGGGTGATTCCAGAAGGTCGAGAACCCGGAACCCGGGCCCTAAACTCTAATTACACCCCAAACCTTAACCCTACTTACACCCCGAACCTTAAAAGCCCCA